CAGCGGTACTTACTGCCATTCTGACCTTGTGTAACTAACCTCGCACAGCACAGCCCTTCCCCCCACTCCAACCGCCACCACACCCCCTCTCTCTTCTTAAAACTTTATTTAGTTAATTTACGAGGTCCAATACTAGTTCCCCCACCGATCACTTCCAAGAATTTGGAGACAATTTCCTCTCTCTCCTCCCTCCCTTCCGGACTTGATGCCAGTTTAAGTGCTACAGGTCATGTCCCCAGTGGTGGAATGATCAGACCTGGTGCTTTATAGAGTTACTACGCTAGCAGCGTCACAGAGCTTATCCCAAGGAAAAGGTTTGCCCCATTACTCGCATCTTCACCCACTCGCCCTGCGCAAAGGGTGAACATCTGCAAGAACCTAAATGTCCCAAGGAGGCGTCTTCATCAGGGACTTTCTTGTGGGAGAATGCACTTTTGCTACCAGAGAGTCGTTGGATGTTTCTGGTCAGCAGGTAAAAATACTGTCTCAGTTGGTGGTACTCTCTCTCTTGCCTTTGAGTCAAAAGGCTCAAACCCCACGTTGGGAGTTTAAAGGCACATGATCTCTGCTGACACAGTGCATCTATCGCTGCATTGTCATTCGTAAAACCCAAATCCTGGCTTTCTGTTCAGGTGGAGTCAAAATATTATGGGTTAATCCCCCCCACTCCCCGTCAGTCTCCAATAGTTCCCGTTTTGTCCTCAAAATATACAGTCAATTATACATGAATAACTCCTTTAAAAAATAACAGAATTGGTCGCTTCAATCCACGATTGTTTGTGGGATGCTGCTGTGCGCAATTGGCTGCTGTATTTCGCCCAAAAAATATACAGTCAATTCACTTTGCGGTATATTCTGTAAAGCGCTTTGAGACGTCTCGAAGATGTGATAAAGCGTTATATTGAAACCGAATATTATTATTATTATTATACCTCAGCGGATTGACTTAAGATCCTCATTCTAAATTACAAACTACTCCGCACCCTCGACCCACCCTTCTTCTGTGATCTCCTGCAGTCTGACTAACCCCTCCCTCTCGCAACCTCAAGTCTGCTCCACTTCCTCCTTCCTACCATCAATGTATAAGCTTCCACCTTGGCATTGCTCTCTAGAACTCTCTCTAAATCCCTTTTTCTTCCTCTCTGCTTTCAAAACCCTTCTAAAAACCTTGACTACGCTTGCGGTCGTCTCCCTTGTGTGTCCCCAATCTCCCAGCCTGCGCGGGCTCTGACTGCATTTCTGTGAAGCACTTTGAAAATTAATTAATGCTAAAATCTTCACTCTGGCGAAAACAGGAAGCAGAAGCGAGATGCTGGGGTGGGGACCCAGCCTCACCATTATCAAACGACAGGTTCCTAAGAATGTTCTGCTTTAACACAGTTCAGGGAACTGATGGGGATGTTATTGGTACAGTGGAGAAGTTGGCTATTCAGGCTGGAGAGGGGAAAAACAGATTCGGATGGGTGCTATCTATCTTCTGGACCTAAATAATAATCATCCTTGCATTTGAAACTCTGGAGCACTCTCCCTCTATCCCTCTGCCTTGCTTCCACCTTCCACATCTTCAGGTTGAACCTGAAGACCTTCCTCTTCAACTGTGCCTATGGTCACCTCTACCCTCCTCAGCGTGGTTCTATGCCGCTGTCAGGCGCTCTGGGATGCTACCCCGCATGAGCGGTGCTATGCAAGTTGTTGCTGTTGTTGCTGATTTACCACCTTTCATGTGAGGAAGGCACCTTAGAGGATACAGTGTAAAATGCAGTGATACGGGGCTTACAACAGCAAAATGTTTTGCTGTAATTACTGTAAAGTGTAGTGACTGAGTAGTCGGGCGCAGCAATGTGGCACGAAGCAGGGATGATGTCGACAATCAATCCCTGACGTGAGGTTCGAAGTCTCAACCTTCTGACCTAGATGCAAGATTTGCTGCTAAAAACTGACCCCAATATATTGCAAGAACAAAAGCCCCTTCTCCTCCCAAAGGCTGCTGGCTTGTGAGGCACACATGCGCACACACACGCACGTACGCTCTGCTGGAACCAACTGAAGCTTCTTCAATTTCCCATCGAGCATTTAGGCGTTGCTTAATAGTTTTTTTAAAAGAAAGTTGTAAATAAAGTAACTTTTTCTTTTCTCATGGGAGCCATTAACCACAGACTCTGCTTTAGTGTTTCCTGTGTTACACCCCCACCCCCTGGGGTATTTTAAGATGACTGCCCTCGACTGTCATCAAGCGAGTGAGTATCAATGTTCAAGACATAAGGGTTGTCTCATTCATTTTGCAAAACATAAGCCAGGAGCATTGTACCGAAATGACACAGAGATTTTCTACGTCTTACAATCATAGACCTTTATAGTACAATATCAGTCATATGATGTGTTTTATATCGGGAGGACATCTCAAAGCGATGTACACATCTGACTGGGCATTCATCCCGGTTGGGGGTGGGTGGGGGGGAAGATGACCAATAGAGGGATAAAGAGATAAGGCTTTCTAAAGTGGGGAGGGAGGTGCAGCCAGTCAGAGGATCTCCGAGATGGATAGAGAGCAGGAGCAGAATGGCTGACATGAAGCAGGCTGGGCCAAGGGAGTGGCTGGATCTGATGACACCACAGCCCAGCCTGGATCATCGGCAGGACTTGAAGGGTCAGGCTGGTCAATGGGGGCAAGGATTTTTCCACTCAGCTCCTGTTAACCCTGGTATGCCAAAACTCTAACAGGTAGGGTAGTCCTAGCGGAACAAGCAGCGAGAAGTTTACCAGACAATGGCAAGATGTGCGCATTTAGCTGATTAGACTAAAGCCAATTTAACCAACACATATTCTGGGGGCCCCAACTCTTGGGCTCTGGCCAACTTGCACTCATGCTCTCAGAAATAGGCTACATCTCTCCAGGAAGAGCGTGCTCATTCCATTTTGAGCAAGGTGAAATATCTGTGTGTAGGTGGCATACATATTTGGAACACACAGTCTGGTTTAGATAGATACCATTATCCACGATAATGGGTCTCTGTGTGGGTCAGACACCCGGCTGACCAAATAAAAATCTTTTCACTCCCCCTGACAGTAAGTTCTGTTAATGAAAAATACGCACAGTGATATTTAAAATAAACAAGAAAGCAGGCAATGCTTTAGCAATGCTGGCAGGAGAGGTGCTGATGTTCTGCCAATTAAATACTCCCTGAAATTCCAGTGGGAGACGGAGGGGCTGGATGCACAAGCAAATAGTGATCCTGTTTTATTTGTTACCCATGTAACGTTTGAATAATTTTTATTTCAGGAGGATAAAGGATCATTAATTGGTAAAAGAAAGGGGTGTGGAGAAAGGACTTTCTATTCAAAGTATCGCGGTCACCTTTACCAATTTTAATGGAGCCAATTTAATGGACCAAGGACACAGAGGTAAGTCACTGGCCTATCTAATATTGCCAGCTGGACTGCTCGGTCTCTCTCTAGGCTAGTCCATGTGAACCATCAGCTTGAACACCACACCACACTGCAATAAATTATAATATATTTTGTGGCCGGAGGACGTCTCTGCGCAGGATTTACTGTGGAGCAGTGATTGTACTTTTGTCATAATCAAGAGCTCTGCAGCTTGTATCCTCTCCTGCTTTACGTTCCGTGAGCCCATCATCCCCAACCTCTCCAGATTCCACTGGCTCACAGTCCCCCAAGACCTTAAAGTCCCTCCATGCCCTTGCCCTATCTCTACCTTTGCAATCTCCTCCAGCCACCTGCTCCCTCCCTACAAGTTCATCGCCCTCTTCATTCTACCATCAGTGTCTGAGCTTTCAGCCACTCTGCCCTGCTCTGTTGAACCCTCTCACGAATCCTACTATCACCCATCCTCTCCCTGTTTTCAAAACCTTTCTAAAGACCTATCCTTTCAATCTATAGTTTGCCTAACCCTATCCTAACTTGCTTGGTGATCCACAGTCCCTGTAAAGTACTTTGAGACATCATCCAACGATAAAGGTGTCATATAATAATAATCCTTGCATTTGATATAGCACCATATTTCGTCTTCGAAATGGCTCAAAGCGCTTCACAGAATATACTGTAAAATGAATTGACTGTATATTTTGTGGGAAAAACGCGGCAGCCAAATGTGCATAGCAGTGTCCCACAAACAGTCACGGATTGAAGTGACCAATTTATTACTATTATTTTTTGAAGGTATTATTACCCCCGGAAAAGAGATCTGCCAATCGACTAACAACCATGTTCGAACTTACTGCTAGGTAAACAGAGGTGTGTAGAGTAAGGAAACTTGCCCTGACATTTCGTCTTGCATTTCGAACCCAGGTTTCACGCTTGCGAAGCGAGTGCTCTAACCACTGAGCTACAGGACTCCACATAAGGGCCAAATATGGTCCATATAAGGGCAAACTGTTGTTAGACTCAACTGCTGGGACTCAACCCACTTTGGGGTTGAGGCTGGTGTAAGCTGGGTCTTCCCCCTGCTAAATCTGCTATTCAAAGTGGATGCAAAAGTCGCGCTATCTTGGAAAAAAGGATTTGCATTACGCTTTAATATTTTTACTACACCTGCTCATGGCTTTGTTCTCTGAGAGCTTGATGTCTCCACACAGAGAGGCTGTCACATCGGAATGAGAATACAGACAGAGCAAGTCATATTACAACTGTCAGCATCTGCAAAATTCACAGAGCTGCAGAGCTCGATTGACCATAGACAAAGGTTTCCTCTTGCCAAAAGTCAATGTTAATCTTTGTTTCTTGTCATCTGAAAGCGTTTCACTCATTTCTCCTTCTATTGGGGAACGTTTCCACTGGCGTTGTGTACCTCTTACTAACCGTTACTAATGTGTGAGCCTTAATCGTGATGCTAATTCCACGCTCGATTGTTCAGTGCCTTGGGACGTGAAAGGTGCTTTACAAATGTAATTTTGTTGTTTGTTTGTTGTTAATACTTGAAACACTGGATTTTCACAACACATCTGTCCGGTGACACTGGGGGAATACAGGAGGTGGCTTACCTGATAATTCTCTGAGCTGCATACTGGTGAAGTGAACGAAACTGGGCGGACATATTGGCTAATGCGGCCAAGCAGTTTGTGTGCAGGTACTTGTCCTACAGAAAGAAACAGATGAAAAAATTAATGGAAAATCGCCTCACTCCCTCTCTTGCCTCCTCTCAAGGCCCTCCTGTTCGACTGCGCCTTCAGATCATCCTTCTACCCCAACCCACCCTGCCCTCCATCCCTCCTGATCCCAACCCCCAGCTCAGGTCCAAATCCCTAACTGTCAGCGCTTTCTCCTGCCGTGAAATGAGCTGTGTAAATGTCATTTGTTATTGTTGAAGAAAATCTGATAAGAATATTGAATGAAAAATAAATCAATCAGCTGTGGACCTAATTTAAATGACACAAGGGTGAGCCGGAATAGTTTCAACAGGCAACAGGAGGGATTTTGATGGGCAACGGCATTGGAAACGAAGTAACCTGCTCTCATATACCAACTAAAGAAACATCAGGTGACCAGCATAACCTTGATGGGTTCCCCCTGCCATGTAAGGATCCATTATACAACACCAGCTATCACTTGCGCTCCAAGGAGCCAAGGTTGGTTATAATGTTATTGTCCTCAAAAGCAGCAAAGGGGAAAACTGGGCAGTCGTTGTGTATCAGTTATTGCGTAGGGAGGGGGAGGAAACAAGCTGTATGGTTTTAGCTGGTTAGACTCCAGCAGTTACCTCAACACAAACCCTGGGTTCCCGAGGCTTGGCTCTTGCCACGTTGTGTCTAAAACTCTCAAGATTGACAACTGCAGGGTGTGTTGCTCTGGGGAGAGATCGGCCATTCTATTCCAGACATGGGATCATTTCCATGTGTAGGTGACATACATGGAATTCTCAGTCTGGTTTGACACTCTTAAGGATAGTGATGGATTTCCGCACGTGTCAGACCAAAAAGATGGGAGAGGGGGAGAAATACCTTTTATGATTGAAGCTCAGTCTATATGGAAAGGGAGCTAACACAAGGTCCAATCAGACTGATAAATTGAGCCCAGCCCTAAGTGATAATTGAGCACCAGTATAAAACTGGAGCTTGGGAGATGTGAGGGAAGATTGGAACAGCCGGATGTAAAGATAAAGTTTTCTTTTACAAAATAAACCTTTCTTTTTATGGTTAAACCAAGTTGTACAAGTTTTGTTTTCTGCCTGTGGTCCACGCCCCCTCCCCCCTCTTGAGTTATGCTTTCAAGGAGCAAAGGGAGGAAGCAAGGCGTAGGAATTGTGGGATGGAGATAGAAAGGGTGGGGGCAGAAAGGCTGAAGGCCACTAAGAATTAAGAATGCCTTCAAAATAGAACAGAGTCTTCCAATGGTATTGCTTGGACCAAAACGCAGACCAGGAGAGCAAACATCCAAGATCTGAAGAGAAAGCAAATTCTTTCCCTTCTTATTATACAGTTTAGGACATGATGTGTGCGTGCGTGCGGATCCAGGATGGCAGAACGCAAACTGGATGGACCTTGGTCTTCTTTTGCCAGCAAATTTTTATTTACCCACAAAATATTCAGTGAATTCACTTTACAGTGAAGCGCTTTGAGATGTCTGATAAGTCGCTCTATCAAATGCAAGGATTATTATTATTATTAGTGGAGTCCTGTAGCTCAGTGGTTAGAGCACTTGCCTCACAAGCAAGAGACCTGGGTTCGATTCCTGGCAGGGTGAAACACTGGGCAAGTAAGTAGGAACCCAGTTGTTAGTCAATTAGCGGATTGCTTTTCTGGGGGAAATAATTCCTTCAAAAATAAATAAATTAATTGGTCACTTCAATCCACGACTGTTTGTGGGACGCTGCTGTGCACAATTGGCTGCCGCGTTTTGCCCTTAAAATATACAGTCAATTCACTTTACAGTATATTCTGTGAAGCACTTTGAGATGTCTCAAAGACGTGATAAAGCACGATATCAAATGCAAGGATTATTATTATTATTACTACGTTCTGATGAAAAACAAGATAGTGATGAAGGAGCTTACCCTAGTTCTCGTCATGTTGTACTGTACAGTCCTTATCACCACAAGAACAAGGAGGCTTCCCAGGGAGATTTCTGTCAGAACCCGCTCAGTGTACCAGGTGATGTTTTTTAGCGTCTGTAAAAGAGGAATAAAATTGCATTTTTTTTAGAAAAAAGCCCTATACATCAAAGACAAAGCTAGTCAAAAGCAGCCTAAACAACCACCCTTGTATAACAACAAAAAGCCTGGTCTTTTAATCACAGCTTGCCATCTTTCAACGATGCATAATACAGCTTTCTTCACTAAACTGGAATTTTTTTCAAATTACCAGTGTGTAATCAAACCCCATTCCCTCGCCTTGTCTCTCTCTCTCGAGCCCTTCCTACCCCCAGGGCGCACCAATACAGACAAGGAAAGACCAAGGTTTGAGAATGCAATACATTGGCCTGGCACATATCATCCATCAAGAAATTATCATTTCAAATGGGTACTTCTCACAGAGAAACAATGAAAGGAAGAATGAAAGTACTGTATGGTACTTTAATTCTAAGATTGATCATGTCCAAATGTCTCGAAGAGCTTCACTGGCAACTGCCGTCAAACCAAGTGGAGTGACTGTGTATTTTGTAAGCAAATAACAATAATCCTTAATAATAATAATAATAATAATCCTTGCATTTGATATAGCGCTTTTCACGTCGGGAGGACGTCCCAAAGCGCTCCGCAGAACATACTGCAAAGTGAATTGACTGTATATTTGTGGGCGAACGCGGCAGCCAATTGCGCACAGCAATGTCCCACAAACAGTCGTAGATTGAAAATGACCAATTTATTATTGTTTTTGGTTTTTGGAGGGATTATTATTAGGCTCTGTGTGGAGTAAGGAAACTTGCCCAAGGTTTCGCCCTCTGCCTGGAATTGAACTCAGGTCTCTCGCTTGCAAAGCGAGTGCTCTAACCGCTGAGCTACAGGACTCCACGCTGCCTCCGCTCTGCAAACAATAATCCTTGCATTTGATATAGCTTCACAGAATATAGTGTAAAGTGAATTGACTGTATATTTCTACTAGACTAGAGGATGGTGAAGTGGGTACCAGTGAGTAGCAAGGAGGGGCAGTGGGGCTAAACACGAAGAGAAAGAGGAGTAATGAACCCACAGACAAATTTAATCTTTTGCCACACAGCTTCAAAATCACTAACCGTAAACCTGATACATATTAAGATCACTTGAATTCTTATCTAAACAACTATTTGTGGGACACTGCTGCATTTCGCCCACAAAATATACAGCCAATCCACTTTACAATATATTCTGTAAAGCGCTTCGAGGCGTATTCATTGCGAGATAAGGTGCTATATCAACTGCAAGGGCTATTATTAGTAGTTCCAGACAGAATGTCAAATTGTGACTTCAGCTCTCTGCCAAATGACTATGTGCTAATCTCTGTTAAAGTACTGTACAGTACTTTCATTCTTACTTTCATTGTTTGTCTGAGACGTACCCATTTAAAATGATCATTTCTTGATGGAAGATATGTGCCAGGCCAATGTATTGCGTTCTGATGTACAAGATACCTTCAGTTTGTCTGCTCTACCACTGGGTCACTGTGCTCCAGACGACACAGGGGGATCACTTACATTGGCTGAAATAACCGAAGCGTCAGAATCTAGACCCAGATTACATCAGTTCAAAGGATTTTTTCCTCTTTCTGCCTCTTCTGTTTGGTTTTCTAACAGACATTTCATAGAACTGCAGCATGCGAATTGTGTAAATCACGTGTAAAGACCGTAGTCTATAATATAAATTACATTTGTACAGCGCCTTTCATGTCGGGCAGACGTCCCAAGGCGCTGGACAGCCAGGGATTTGGACCCGAGCTGGGGGTCAGAATCGGTGAGAGTGTATAGGGCAGGGAGGGTGGCCGAATGCTCGGTCAAAGAGGAGAGCTTTGAGATGCGCCTTGAAGAAGGCAAGGGAGGGAGTGAGGCGAAGGGACATGTGAGATAGAGTTCCATAGGGTGGGGGCAGAGAGGCTAAAGGCCTAGCGGTCAACGGCGGAGTGGCCAGAGCCTGCAGAGCGGAGGCAGCGGACAGACTGATATGGGGTCAGCAGGTCGCAGAGATACAGAGGGACAAGGCCGTGGAGGGCGTTGAAGATGAGGATGAGAATTTTGAACTCTATCCTCTGGAGGATGGGGTGTCAGTGGAGCCGAGCAAGGGTGGGGGTGATGGGGTCATGGAGCCTTGGTGCAGGAGAGGACACGGACTGCAGAGTTCTGGATAATCTGCAGCTTGTGGAGGGAAAAGTTGGGGAGGCCGACAAGCAGGGAGTTGGCGTAGTTGAGCATAGATATGAGGGTTTTGGCGGCCTGCGGTGTGGGACAGTGGCGGAGCCGGGCAATGTTGTGGAGTTGGGGAAGGCAGAGTGGATCATGGGGTAGAAGAATAACTGAGGGTCAAACAAGACCCCAAGGTTCCGGACTGGCTTAGCAAGATGGAGTGTGCAACCATGGATGGTGATGCTGTCAGCGCCTGAGGTGAGGAGGTGCTGACGGGAGCCAATCAGGAGAGCCTCGGTCTTGTTGATTTTCAGCTGTAGAAAGTTAGCTCTCATCCAGGACTTGATGTCTGACAGTCATTCTGTGTCTGGAGTGGTCCTGGAGTCAAGGATAGAGGCAGAGAGGTAGAGTTGGGTGTCATTCGCATACATGTGGAAATTGCCCCATCTCTGTGGATGATGTCACCAAGAGGGAGCATATAGATATTGAAGAGGGGCCCAAGGAACGTGGCGCAAGGCCATGCGGTGGCTGGAGCAGAAACTGTTTGTGGAGCCATTATACGAGTTATGTAAAGGACAACAACATTTTTTTGCATGTAGTCAAAGTCTGATCTGTATAAATCATATACAGATCAGACTTTGACAGTATACAAATAATCTTGGGCGGATGTACACCTGAGTCATACATCTGCCCAAGTCCTGTTGAATTTCCCATAACTTATGCAAGTTTCACATAATCTGTACTTTGCATGAAACCTATTAAGTGTAGGATACAACTTGTGTGAGATTGATTTACTGTCGCGCTATTCACGCTGGGAGGACGTCCTAAGGAGCTGGACAGTCAGGAATTTGGACCTAAGCTGGGGGTAGGAATCGGGGGCCTAATGTACTGGGAGAATAACAGATGCCCTTTATTATGCAATTAATACCAATGACATGCTAACACATGGCTTTTGCAGTAAAAAAATTAGTGTGCTAAAAACATTCTATATTTCTCCCCATTGATATTTGACTCTCTGCTCCCGGTCTGGCCGCCTCGCTGCAAGTCCTGGATGAGAATTCAGTTGAAAAAATATCAACAGGACAGAGGCTCTCCTGCTTGGTGCTGACAGCATCACTATTCGCCAACGCACTCACCAGCTCACAGAGCCAGCGCAGAAATTTGGTGTCCTGATCGATCTTCAACTGTCCTTTAAACCCCACATCCGTGCCTTAACTGACTCAGCTTCCTCTCACCTCCACAATATTGCCCTCCCCCACCACTACCTCTCCCTTCGGGCTTCTGAGATCCTTATCAATTTTATCCAACTTGTTGCCTATGCCAACTCTGCTCAACAGACTTCCCAACTCTTCCCTCTCCAAGCTGCAGACTAATCAGAAGTCTGAAGCTCGCGTCCTCTCCCATATCACGCCTCACAGACATATCCTGACCCCCACGACCCAGCTCTCCATCCTCCCAGAGGATCGAGTTTAAGATCCTTATCCTCATTTTTAAATCCCTCTACAGTCATACCCCACCCTTCTAAAACCTCACCAACCTGCCCTCTCCCTCCGCTTGGCAGGAACTGGCCGGCTTCACTTCCCCCACCCTGCCCACCCCACCAGCAGTGGTCGGGCCTTCAGCCTCTACTCTCTGGACCTGTCCCTTTGCCTCGTTCAACATCCCCTTGAAGAGTCTTTGGCTGTTCCTTCAGTCACCTTGCCACCCCTATCCTCCCTTTGCCTCCAGCCTCCTGAATCTAACTCTCAGTTTGTGTACAATCCCTCGACTGCCCAGGGCCTAGGGACATCATCCCGATGTGAAAAGCATTGACAATCGAATAACAGAATATTTCAGCACAAAAAAATGGCCATTCACATCAGTCCTGATGTTTTTCTCTATGTGAGTTAATCTGATGTACTCCCACTCTCTTGCTCTCTCCCCCATGCCCTTGACAGTCATCCTCTTCAAATCGCCTATTCCCTTTTAAAAGACGTTTCTGCTTCAACAATGGATTGTGACAGATAATTTACACATCACTCGTTCAAAAAAAAATCCTTCTGAACTTGCCCTCAATTTATTTTATGATCTTACTCATTAGGTGTGGGAAGGAGGGATTCAGGAGGTTGCTTTCAATGAGTGTCGTGTCATGGTTTGGAACTAAATGCGTATCACACTCAGAACTCTGCAGCTCGTGTACTGTCCCGCACCAGGCTTCGTGACCACATCACTCCCACCCTCGCTCGCCTCCACTGGCTCCCCATCCCCCAGAGGATCGAATTCAAGATCCTCATCCTCACCTACAAGGCCATTCACGGCCTCGCTCCCTCCTACCTCTCCGACCTAATATCCCCCTATCTACCTGCCCGTACCCTCCGTTCCTCTGGCTCCGGTCTGCCCCACATCCCCAGCTCCAACCGCCCTACCATCGGTGGCCGGCCTTCAGCCTCTCAGCCCCTATACTCTGGAACTCCATCCCCCAGTGCCTTCGCCGTCTCCTCCCTTTCCTCCTTCAAGGCCGGTCTCAAGACCTTTCACTTTGACCGTGCCTTCAGCTCCCCTCTCGACTCTCTACCCCCTCCTCGCTCCCTCCCTTCCTTCCCCTCACCCTGACCATTTCCCCCTTCCTTGCTCTCTCCCTTCCCTCCCCTCACCCTGACCATTTCCCCCCTGCTCGGTCCTGAACCAACTGTCCAGTACTTTGGGACGTCCTCCTGACGTGAAAGGCGCTCTATAAATGGAATCATGTTGTTGTTGTTGTTGTTGACACCGTGTGTCTGTGTGTGTGGGGGGGGGGTGGGTTGTGTGTGTGGGGGGCTTGTGTGTGTGTGGGGGGGGGTCCTTTGTGTGGTGGTAGAGAGGGGTATGTGTGTGTGG